TTCACGTACAAGGTCGACATCTAGTGTTATAACCCCATATTCTCCCTTAATTGAATGATAACTTGAATGGCAATTCCACTTCGTCTTATCCTTCGTCTAGATTCTCCTTCCACTTCATAACCTCCTGTTGAAGTCTTCAATGGGCCTTCTTCTTGTGACCAATGTGTTAAACTTGGTCGCAAACGCATGTAGTGGTGTTTTTTTAGTCGGAAAGAGTCAGCAAAACTTAGGAAGAGTGTCCAACACGGTTTCAAATATGTTTATAACTCTACAACAACTTAGTCTAGGGCTTTTGAATAATAACTCATAAAAGTAATTTCATTTGTTAATTGTTTCTGCCTTTTTATTACACCTTGTATGTAAATAAGTTTATAAACTGTAACCATTTATTCAGCAATCTATAATGCGCATATAAATAATAGTTTCTATACGGAACGGTTATATTTAGAATTGTTCCTAGAATGATTTTATTTTTTGTTCATTTGTCCTCATTTTGTTTTACAGAACTAAATCTGAAGAAAAAGTTTACACAATAGATACCGGAATCAAAATTGAAAAAGATATTATTGACGGTCAGGAATATAATGGAATAGTTAATGAACACAGCTCTTCAGAATTCCTTATTTGTAAGAATTCGGACGATTCATCTAACTTAAAGAAAAACACTTTGACTGATATCTGTGATAACATTTCGACAGCATCAAATTTAACAAAGCCTTATAAATGTGATGTTTGTGATAAAGGGTTTTCTAATAAATCAAATTTAAACAGGCACACAAAGATACATACCGGTGAAAAGCTTTATAAATGTGATGTCTGTGATAAAGCCTTTTCTTCTAGACAACAAATAACAAGGCACACAATGACGCATACTGGCGAAAAGCCTTATAAATGTGAATTTTGTGATCTAGGATTCTCTCAGAAAACCAATTTAAAAACCCATAAACCCACACATAGTGGCGTAAAGCCTTATAAATGTGATGTTTGTGATAAAAGGTGTTCCACTAAATCAAATTTAACAACGCACACAAAGATACATACCGGTGAAAAGCCTTATAAATGTGATGTCTGTGATAAAGAGTTTTCTTCTAGACAGCAACTAATAACACACATAAGGACACATACAGGCGAAAAGCCTTATAAATGTGAATTTTGTGATCTAGGATTCTCTCAGAGAACCAATTTAAAAACCCATAAAATCACACATAGTGGCGTAAAGCCTTATAAATGTGATTTTTGTGATAAAGGGTTTTCTACTAAATCACATTTAAACAGGCACACAAAGATACATACCGGTGAAAAGCCTTATAAATGTGATGTCTGTGATAAAGCCTTTTCTTCTAGACAACAAATAACAAGGCACACAATGACGCATACTGGCGAAAAGCCTTATAAATGTGATTTTTGTGATAAAGGGTTTTCTTCTAAACCAGATTTAACAAGGCACACAAAGATACATACCGGTGAAAAGCCTTATAAATGTGATGTCTGTGATAAAGCCTTTTCTTCTAGACAACAAATAACAAGGCACACAATGACGCATACTGGCGAAAAGCCTTATAAATGTGATGTTTGTGATAAAAGGTGTTCCACTAAATCAAATTTAACAACGCACACAAAGATACATACCGGTGAAAAGCCTTATAAATGTGATGTCTGTGATAAAGAGTTTTCTTCTAGACAGCAAATAATAACACACATAAGGACACATACAGGCGAAAAGCCTTATAAATGTGAATTTTGTGATCTAGGATTCTCTCAGAGAACCAATTTAAAAACCCATAAAATCACACATAGTGGCGTAAAGCCTTATAAATGTGATTTTTGTGATATAGGGTTTTCTACTAAATCACATTTAAACAGGCACACAAAGATACATACCGGTGAAAAGCCTTATAAATGTGAATTTTGTGATCTAGGATTCTCTCAGAGAACCCATTTAAAAACCCATAAACTCACACATAGTGGCGTAAAGCCTTATAAATGTGATGTTTGTGATAAAAGGTGTTCCACTAAATCAAATTTAACAACGCACACAAAGATACATACCGGTGAAAAGCCTTATAAATGTGATGTCTGTGATAAAGAGTTTTCTTTTAGACAGCAAATAATAACACACATAAGGACACATACAGGCGAAAAGCCTTATAAATGTGAATTTTGTGATCTAGGATTCTCTCAGAGAACCAATTTAAAAACCCATAAAATCACACATAGTGGCGTAAAGCCTTATAAATGTGATTTTTGTGATAAAAGGTGTTCTACTAAATAAAATTTAACAACGCACACAAGGACACATGCTGGTGAAAACCACATAATTGTGATTTCTATTATAAAAAGTTTTCTAATGGATCAAATTTAAAAAGTCATTTAAGGACACATCCTGGATAAAAGTGGTACAAATGTAATATCTGCAACAAGGATTTTCTCTGAACTGTAATTCAAGACTACATATTATACAAGTAGACAAAGGGACATTAGATTAAAGCTTTATTAATGCCATCTCCATCATCAATCTTTCTCATGTATCCACTTTAAGAACCCTTATTTAAGTGTATTTATATATTATTAATATTTGTATATTAGTTTCAAAAACTATATTGCTTTTATTGCTTATTAATAAAAGATAAATATTAAAATATTTGAAAGCTGTGTTATTAACGTGTACTTGGACATCAACTCCTTTTTATTATCATGTCTAATTTTTTAAGTTTTGTAAGTATTTTTCTTACCTGGACCCAATCCCGTTTATATGTAAAATAAATAAATAAAAAAATGTTAAATTATTTTAGTTTTAAGTCCATTCTGGCATTTCAAACATTTAATTGTGTTCTCTTTAGGAATGTTGATGTTATGTTTTTCATTTTAATGTATAATTATGTTTTAACTTACTCCACATTCATCACAGTTAAACTTCTTTAAAGAAATACCATTTGCTTCCTAATATCTGCCAACAATGTTTGCTCTTAGATAATAATAATAATAGTTATAATAATAATAATAAAGAAATAAACATATTTAGCAGTTTTGAATTGATTTATATAATATCGTCGTTTTAAAGTAATACTACATCGTTTGTCACTTTGGATGATTCCTCGTTTTTATAGAAGTGTTTCAAAACATCAAAAAATCTGTAATATATTTTTATAATTATAATAATAATAGTATATTAATAAATTTTATGTAACATACATTACCAATCAAAAGAAAAAACTAAAAAAGGAGACAATAAAAAAATAATATTGGTCTAAATATTTTAAGGTTTTACTCATAATATGTCGATAATTATAGCTCTATAAAAAAAAATATACTTCTGATAGTCTGAATCATAAACTTTAAATAACAAATTACAAATCCTAGTTAAATTGTAGTTAATATTAGTATGATTTGTTTATATGTGTTCTGATAAATGTGTATTATGAATATTTATTAGTTTTCTTCAAATGTATTAATTATTTGTTTGAAAAATAATTGTGTATCTACCTATTAATTCTGAAATTGTTGACTATTAAAAATGTATAGATTTAAATTATATTATCTTTTATGAATCTAATAAAATTCTTTTTAATATACACTACATTTTTTTATTGATCATTATAGTGTGCATTATGCAATCAGTGTTTTTCAAATGACCAATAAAATTTTGGAAACTTACCAAACTGCAGAGGCGTATCTATAAGTGGAGAAATGGGGGGTCATAAATACGCTACTGCCGACACTATATTTAATTTAGGTTTTCCAGCGGGCTGGGCTCAGTTCTCCTACAACCAATAAGAACGGACTATCCCAATGTTACCAACTATGGAAAATCAAAATCTGAATACCGACTAACATTTTATCAGAAAATGATAAGCGGAAAATAAACAGGAGAAGGATTTTATTTTTATTTTTGAATTAACCATAGACATATAAATTACAAACTATGTCTTATTAAAATCAACATAATCAGCATTCAGAATATACTTTAATACTATATAGAAGAAAATAATATAAATATATTATAATTATACAAATATCTATTGTGCTAAACCTAAAAATAGAACGGGGATTTAAATGAAAATTAAATTTTCTTCTCAGTTGTTTAAAAACTAAGATTCAAACAAATTCGTTTCAAACATAAATATTCAACAATTATAAACGGTTAAATATTCCAAAGGACCTAATTATCAACAAATTTAGTATGACAAATATGGAATATTGGTTTACAAATATTGACAAGTTCAAAACTGACATAAAAATTCATTCAAAATACAATAAATTACTTATTAGTTGTTAGTATGTAAAATGTATATGTAATATGCATAATATAATAATATTGTAAAATTGTTAAATATATTTATAAAGGATTTTGAGCCATTTAATAATACAAGCCCTATGAGGCAAAAAAAAAAATGCATTATAGTTGATGCTTAATCTATACTTATGACTCAAATGCGAGATTCATAAACAAGACATTGGCTTAATAAAAGAAAAAGTATTACTAAAATAAATGTTGGCTGACTTAAGTTATTATCACAATTTGTTATTTTTTAAACTATAAAAATTAGCTTAAGCAATATACTTATTCTTAAGACTATAAATACAGCTCTTACAGTGTTAATAGTTTAAATAATTAAATGTTTAATTAAGTATATACCTACTAGATACTTAAATTTAAATCAAGTGTCTGACACTAATAATCAAAACTGATTTTACTCAAATACTTTACAACATAGTCATACTACTCATACTATTAAAATTTTGTACATTTTTATTAACATTTAACACACGTCAATGACAAAAATATAATAATTAAATATTTCAATTAATTTAGTAATCGCTATTAACATAAAAAATAAAACAATTCGATTATACTTAAAAAAAAATACAAGTAGTCCATATTACAAAACTATAAGTTTAACTCACATTTGTCTGAAAAATTACATACAGCTTAAAATAATAATAAATAAATATTTCCTACTAATAACAATTTAAAGATAAAACGAAAGCATTTCAATGAATTATGGTTCCTAAAAAAAATAAAAAAATAAATAAACATTAAACAAGAAACAACAAAATATATTAAACACACTATTATTGAATTATATTAAAAATAAACAGCATACCAATGGTCGAGGACCAAGCTGTCTTTCATTATATCCGTCCATAGTATGACCTGCTCTTCTTAGAAACATCAAAATATCTTGTTCTTCATTTAATAACTGAATATAGTGTCTTATATTAGAAGAAGTTTCAGCTCGTCGGACCCGTGTTGTATTGTTTCTAATGGTTAAATTTCTCCTAGCTTGGTCCATTTCTATGTAATACTGGTTTTCAATAGACAACAATCTTGCTAATCAAATAAAATAAAATTAATACAATTATCGAGTTAGCATAATTATTATTAGTTATGATTACTCACCATTTTTTCCCATGAATAATAAAACATAAAATAATTCACAAAACATTATAGGCATAAACATAAATGTATCTTACAAACACAAATATTTATAACTGAATAAATTTTAAATTAATACAAATAACAAGTTATAACACTTACCATTCTTCCTTATTATTAATAAATTCACAAAATATGTAATTACCAGTCAAATATAACTCAAACACGAATATTCAAGACTATGTTATATTTACGCATATAATCCCAGATATTGGGGTGCCTTCCAAGTTGTGACAGCAATGTGGAATGGAAAGATTCTAGATAATTATTTGTACGAATATCTGACCTAAAAATTACAAAAAAATATATATATATATATATATATTATAATACATTAGAAAAAAAACTAAAATTACAATAATTGTATTGAAGATTTCTTACCCAAAAACACTTATACATGAGGCACCTATTTGATTAAACCAAAACTGTTGAATATACCCAATTAAAAAACCTTGTAATCGTTCTGATATTTCTTCAATACCATTGGCATACTCAATTATGGTATTAAACCCTTCGGCCATAGTGAATTGACACTCAGGGTGTACTTCTGCTGGGAGATGAGGCAATGCCAATACCTGAAAATGAATATGCATCCCAAGTATGAAATTTCAAATAATAATATAGTGTCTAGAATGAGTATCTAGATAACTTATTACTACTACTTATATATTTACATTACCATTCTTAATACTCGATTGGCTTCTGGGCTATTTTGAAATAAGTGAAAAACACTATTTAAGGTTCTTCGGCAGTATCGAATAACAGCCTGTAACAATACATTTATTATAAAACCAGAAGGCATAAAAACTTGAAAACTGTGGAAGTACTTGGCAGAAATGAAACCAACAACCTTGCAGATTGCTTTCATTAAAAATGCTTCTCACAGCATTCATCAAGCCTCTTTCATAGTCTGTAACTATAGTCAGTTGAGCATAATTCAATGGCAAAATTCTCAAAACAATATGGAAGAACGATTCATATGTTGCTTGCGTCATTTTCGATGTGAGAGCATATACCATTGGAAAAGACTAAACAGTAGAAAATGTATATGACATATTATAACAAAAAGTTAATTAAACAAATTATTAATTTAAAGCAAAAAATAATTAACCTACACTACGCATTAAAAGAACAAAACAATTAAGTTAAATGCATTACTTACAACATTATGAAAAAGTACATGAAAGGTCAGAAGGCAACCATTAGTAAGCTGAGAAGGACGTTTTGGTACTGTTTTAAAGGTTCCATCAATTCCTGCAACTCTGACAGATAAAAGCTCATTTCTATACTTTTCGATGGCATCTAAATTAAAAAATACTAATCCAACAGTTTCTCCCTCAGCTTCAAATAGTTGTTGAAAAAACCTAAATACAAAAAATTGATTTAATGAAATGCTAAAATATTTATTAGATAATATTGTCCTATCTGCTGTCACCTTGAAGGCGGATGCTGCAAGGTTGATGCATATGCCATATGTTCATTCAGAATACCTGCCAAATCTTCAATAGTGTCTGGGTTTGGTGGACGTCGACAATGACGCATTCTTTGTACACTTGCTTGTGATTGGAGAAATGTATAATTCCTTGCACCATCTGGATGATGTTCTGAAAAATTAGAATGGTTTTATCAAACATTTGGTAAATTTCTGGTTCTTTTCTCAAATGTGGCCCATTTGGAGGTCTGAAGGGGTAGCAAAAAATATTTTTATTGGAAGACTGAACGGAAAAAGACTCAGGGTCGACCGAGTTAAAGATGGGCGGACAAGGTGAAAACGGATCCCATGGAAATCTGAGAAGATGCGAGAGTTTAAGACTGCAAAGATGGAGATAAGTGGAGGGAGTGGTTGAGGCAGTGAAGGTCCTACATGGTCTGTAAAAGATAGGAAGAAAAAGAAGATATTTATATACAATTTAAGTATTTTAATATATAAATAATAATTACTTTATAACAAACACCAATGGATGAAATAAATGTATAATATTGTTTAATATTATGGACTATGGTAAACGAAAACTAAAAAGAATTACAAATTAAAAATAAATTATATGAAATCGAATTTTCTTGAATTTTTTGCAAACTTGTCAATTATATGTTCATTTATACGCCATAATTAACACAGACTAATTTTTTAGAAATTTTATCGTAGCCGTACTATTATTTTATATGGGAAAGCACGAGACGCTTCAACATTCTGCATATTATCATAATTTGTATTAATTATTATTTCATAACCGCAGATCTATAAATTATTTGATATTAACTAATTATTAGTTATAACCTAGTAATTAGTAATTTATTTAATTTTATTATTATTCCATTGAGTTTGTTATTCATCACAGTAATATATATTATATATAATAGGTGCAGTTTATAGTTTTATCAGAAAATCTTCTATTCAAATAAGAAATAACATCCTCAACAATTTTGAAGTATGCAGTTCTTTACCAAGAATTAGAGTTACACACTCTAAAACGAATAACAGTAAAATATATCTGTACTTGAAATGATTACTATTATTTTTTTTTCTGATGTTAGAGGTTATCTATTTATTCTGTTCTTTTGTTGTTATAATGTGAATGTGAAACGCACGTCGTCTCTTATTTTATAATTATGTTACGTTGAAAGTAATTATATTAAACGCTGGAAAGTGATTATATTGAAAGACTGAGTTATTTCTTACATCAGAAGTGGGATTTGAAAGCGAATATTAGTATGGATGTTCAGATGAACATGGATAAAATAGTCGACGACAAGGCGCAGCACTCCATGGATGAAGTGAATCGTGTGATATTTGGTCAGAGCACTCGGAGCCCTCAGATCCCTACGAAGGAAGAAGGAAATGCGATTTTTATGCAGACATTACTCAAACAGAATGAGTTACTAATGAGGATGTTAGTGCTAAAGGAGAATACGTCAAATGAGGTATACGCTCCACCGGACTTCTCCAAAATACTACCAACGTTTGACCAACCTAAAGACATGTATACCTTTTGTGCACACTATATAACAAACATTTCTCACCACACTGGAATTAACTTGTCAAGTACAATAACATTTATTCCAAATACAGTGAAACCTCGATAAGTCTTACTCAATAAGTTAATAACCTTAATAAGTTGAAATAAATTCCGTTCCCTTGCCTAATCTAACCAAAGCTCACATAACCTTATAACCTTAGTAAGTTGAAGACCTCGATAAAACAAAAAAATGTAATTTCCCTCGAATCTTAACTTATTGGGGTTCTACTGAATAACATACAGTATAAATTCCTACTTATGAGTAAGTAGATCTAAGTTTATAGGTAACACAAATTGTGAAGATCAGTATATTGTTACGTGCAGCCCTTCAGGAATCCAAAAGATGATGATTTTGAAATAAACAGTAGTCAATTTAAAATAGTAATCGAATGCAGTTTTATTATAATAGTAAATATGCAAGATATTGTCGTGTATAACTCGTAGTAGCGTGTATAATCCCGTCGTAGTTGTGTGTAATGGCTGATGGTGTGATGTGGCTCTGGTCTTGGGAGCTCTGGTACATCTAATTGTGCTGTTCTCCTGGCCTGTATATATGTGATGTCGGCTCCTTTGAATTGATCTGTGCGTGGACCTATTTGTCCTTGAGGTAGTTGTAGCGGTTTTGAAAGCGGCTTATTCTCGCAGAGAAACTACATTTACATCATTTACGAGACCACATTTTATGGAAAGTACGGTAATAACGGATTATAATTATGTGCTTATACATGAAATGATTATTACTCGTGTAATAAAAGCGTAATCCTTTACAATATTGTTTTTTAATGTATCTACCGATAAAATTAAATATAATTTAATTCGCTTTTTATTTTTCCTGTGTAGTTTGTACAAGTAGCATGATTATATACTGATTCACCTTTCGCTGCCATTGTAAACCATAAGATGAATATATCAAATAAAAAAAAAGAGTCTATTCAACAAACCACGAAGAGAAATGTATAGGGAAACAGTAAATATAAACTATGAACAAGATGTAATTGTGACATGTGCAATAGATTTTGTCATCCACATTTGTAAGAGTGAACGGCCCGTCGTACGAGTGTACGACAATGACATCAGTCGAACTATCTGCCCACTCCTGCTTTTTCAAAATCTCAGAATGGGGCAATTTGTATTATCTATAAACCTTGCCAGTGCGTCACCGGCACTGAAAAGGTTAAGTTTGGGGAGAAGGAGTCACAGATCTTTGAGTTGTTAAAAAGTAAATTGGTGCAAATACCGATTCTGGCATTATATTCCCCGTCAGCTGAAACCGAAGTGCATTGTGATGCTTTTGCATTGGGTAATGGAGTGATCCTTTTACAGAAACAGAAAGACGGTTTAATGCATCCTGTGTTTTATTATAGCAAGAGAACCACTGAGATAGAAGCTAAATATCATAGTTATGAATTGGAGTGTTTGGCATAAGTATATACTATATACACTGAAGCGTTTTCATTTTTATCCCAATGGTATTAAGTTCAAAGAATTCACTGATTGTGAACGTTTTAAGTTAACCATGAACAGGAAAGATATGAATCCTCGGATTGCAAGATGGGCATTACTGTTTCAGAATTATGATTTTAGTATAGAACATCGTGCAGGAAGTAAAATGAAACACGTTTACGCGTTAAGTCGGAATACCGATATATTAATATTAAATTTAAATACTTTTGAAGAAACATTGTGATTCAAACAAATTGAACATAAAGATATTGACAAGTTAAAAGAGCAGTTGAGGAAGTCTGACGATAAGTTCTTTGAGATGAGGAATGGTTTGGCTGTTAAGTAGGGTTTTGATAGCTGGATCCCTTGTCCTTTGCCAAATAAATCTTAATTTGCGTTTTTTTTTATAAATTTGAGATCGTATAGCCGGTGGCAGATCTGCTTTTATGTCCAACGGATTATGAATTTGCTGCTTTGCTTTGCATGACGATCATGGGGCCTATATGCCAGTGACAGACTATGACTGGCGGGAACGTCCTAGTTTAGTATTTACTGTATATTACTGGGAATGTGCCCAATCAAGATGGCAAGTGTGATTATTAGTTAGGAGTGGGTTAACTCTTGTACGACCTAGGTCACGGATGTGAGGGTGGGGAGATAATAGATATTTGTGCAACAGTGTTTTACTATTTTTCCTGGTTTTGTGTTCGATGTAGTCTACAAGGGATGATTTGCGAATGGTGACATTATTAACGAACCACTGCGAGGTGATAATTGTCTCTAAACCAATGTTTTGGACTGATTCAACCTTCCTCCAGTTTGAACGCGAACAGTAATGGCGCCCAGGCGGGACCGGCATATGTTAGAACTGAGCCAATGACAATTGGAGGCATGTGATTTTTGCTTTGATCCTTATTGGACTGCGGTGATTTAGTACCAAGTATAGCATACCCCTAATAATTGATGTTGCTCTTCTTTTAATGTTATTGATATGATCTTTGAATGTTAGGTTTTGGTCTATAGTTGGTCCTAGGTATTTGTCGCTAGGTGAATATTCTATAGTTTGTTCGTTTATTTGGGGCTTGAAATCGGAAAAATTGAAAACATCAGGGATAGTTGGGCCCGGGTTCTCAGTGAATTGATGTTCGTAAGTAACAGGGAGGGGCTCAGCTATGTATTTTGCGTTGTATAAAAACGAGTTAGGTCCAGAAAGCGGTTGAATGGCTGGGGGATTTTGTTCAGCACCTTTTTGTTGAGTTTAAAGAAAGAGTTGTCATTGATATTCAACGAGTTCAAAAACTTGTCCCATTCATCCTGTCGGTGAGTTTGCAGGAGAATTCTTATAAATTTAACTTTACCGTAAGTTGGCGTTTAGTTGCAGGATCACAAGTTTTTTGTCATACACGACAGATACGGATTTTTGAGGCAATTTCCACAAGGATTTCATTCAGACTTTGGTGATTATAGCGGCTTTTTTGTAAGAATGAGCATGAATCGATTGTTGACGCAATGATGTTGGATAGGTATTGGAGAGCTGTATCGATTTTTTCAGAAGTATCCGTTTATACATTTGAGTTTAGAATTGATTTCTCAAGTGTGTTGGCAAATTTGAACCAATTTATTCTACGACTTATTATGATTTTGCTTGGCTTTGGCTTTGCTTTAGGGATGGCACACAACGACCGGGTTTAGTAGACATTGGAAAATAATAATTAATGTTCTAAATAGATTTAAATTCAATAAAGTTTCATTCATTATACTCGGATACAAACTAGTAGAACAACAACTTAAAAAAATCACCTTCAAAAAACTTCCAAATACTAGTAGAGGCAAAATCCTGGTATAGTTAACGGCTTAGGTGTGGGAGGGGGGGTATTAGCACTCCCAATTTTAAAATTAGCATCCTCTAATAATTTATGTGTTTATGTATCAAAAGTTCTCCTTACAACAAAAATAAAACCAAAAACAGTCTGATTTCATCAGACATGAACCCTCTTTTAAAACTTGTTTTTCTACCCATGTTAAAGATTAGGGTTTGATTTTACGTTTAGTGGTTGGAGGGGGTGAGTTTTACCTAGGAGTCGGATGTGGGCATGACGTTCATGGGACAGTCCTGTTTTCAATAAATCTGTCCCGCGTCCCGTCTTAATAACTAACGGGACGCAATCTACACAAAACCAACAGTCAGTCTGTCACTTAATCTTAAATATTAATACATTTTTCATCGAGCCTACTACTTTAGAATTTCAAAAAATTGCTTTGGCTGAATTAACATAAGTTTATTATAATATAAAACATAACTAGCTGTCCTTGTGCCTCGATTCCGGGCGTTGTGGAAGCCGCCTCCGGCGCCTTCGAGGTGGTCGAGTGAAAATCGTTTCACGGGAAATTCGAAAAGAAATTAAACCGTACCGAAAACTTTGACTTGGAGTGTAGAGTGGTCTTTGCTCGTCTGGTGTAATACCGTGCCCCGCTGTATGCCCGGTTCTGTTTTGTTGATTGTATATTAAATTAGAAATTGCGAATAATTGTAATCGAATGTCTAGCAATCAATCATCGCATCTATGCAAATCTATGAGTTATAGGGCATGTGTGTATGGCGGATTGGATGCATGACCCGCGTCGCGTGCTAGAAGCAAGTGAAAAAACGGGAAATTCAAAAAGAAATTAAGTCGTATAGCTGCCGCAATTTTTGAGTGTCTAGGAAGTCAGTCACCTGGTTTGATTTTGAGCGTAGTCTGGCAGGTAGGCAATAGGACTTCGTCGTATAGCAGACGACGTGCAACGGTCGGGTAACACGATGAGGCATGCAATCCGAAAACTGTGACTGAGTGTCTAACGGTCTCTCCTCGTCTGGTGTAATACCGTTCCCCGCTGCATGCCTGGTTCTGTTTTGTTGACTGTATAAGAAATTAGGAATTGCGAATAATTGTAATCGAATGTCTAGCTATCAATCATTGCAGTATGCAAATGTATGAGTTATAGGGCATCTGTGTATGGCGGATTGGATACATGTCTCGTCGCATGCCCTGTTCTTTTGTGCGTGCAAAGAGGATAAATGCATAACGAAAACGGTAATTGTGTGTCTAGCCTTCAGTCCTCAACCGGTACAAATTTGTGCGTTTACTGGGCATACCTCCTAACGTCGATAGTCTGATATTGTATTATTGTAGGAGAAAATGTTAAAGCCGAATGTCAATTGAATAAAAAGGTTAAGTAGTCGATTTAAAGGCAACCATACTTCCCATGTATATAGGTTTCTGGTTGCGAACGACCTAATTACTTATATAAGTTCATAAGTACTTATTAAGTACAGTTAAATGAATATATGTGTAGCCTATAAAACATCAGTTAAATGTATCATGTTGTATATATGTGTGTTGTGCACATGCTTATAGTTTTTGGTTTTTAAAAGTGGTTTTAATACTATCAATCACAATCTTTTACAATTTTAGGTTTAATATAAGTAAGTAGTAATGTATAATAATTTCAAAACATTTCTTTAGGAACAAAAACTCAAAACTATAAAATGCCTGACTACTAACATTTACGGAAATTATTTATTACAATTTTCATCCATTTAAAAGAGTAAGCGAAAAAAATTTTTATGATGTTGACTTTAAA